TGTTGTGCACGAACAATGAATCATGGAACACTTCATCTAGAACTAATGATGTAATGTATGGGGATTAACATAAGAATAAAAAAAAAATTATAAAAAAAAAAAAGAATGAACAAAAAATGATGAGGGACTGGATGGTAAATGAGTAAAATTATATGGAATGTGGGCCCATGGGGTATAAATAAGCATATGCTGGAGAAGGGAAAGCTCTACCCTGCAGCAGAACGCCCACTAATAAACGTACAAGGAAGGATGGAATTGAAACCCCCGCCCCCCATCTGCCCCCCAAGCAACGATCATATTAGTAGCTGCTTCAGGCAACCGTCAATGGATATTCACCCGGGTGGGTGAAAGTCTGATGCAGAATAGGATATTTTTATATAGCCTATTCTCCCTCCCCACTCATTAATAATTACAGCACATTTATTAACTTTACATTGGAGGTGGAGGAACCTGGCAGAAACCATCTTCACGGGAAAGAAATTAATACACAGGAGTGGGACAAGCTGACATGGTGCATTAAGAGGAGAACATCGCATGTGGGTATTTTCATCTAAAATGCATAAATCATGAGGAAACAGGAGATGCACATAAACTGAAGGAAACTCTCACATAACTGGCGTACATCCTTCAATACTGTCAAGGTCACCAAAGATAACACACGACAGAGGAACTACTCCAGACTGATGGAAATAGACATGACAAGCAGAGGTGACACATGACGCGGGACCCATGATGGGTCTGGGATTTCCGCAGCTGAACACTTATATGCAGACAGACGGAGCTGTCAGACTCAAAGGCCACTTCCTGTCATGATTTCTCTCTGAAGCCATGAACGCTAAATGTACGAGCTCTAAGACAAAGTCAGACGGCTACTGGAACCATGCAAGCTCGAAGGGGAAGCTGGCACTGTACCTTTGTTCTCACAAAGAATGACTGGTCTTCGGTCTCCAGGACGTAGAACAGGAAGGGGCTCTTACAGGCCTCTTGGACCACACTCTTCAGTTTGACGTGCAAACTGGTGCACAGGTCTGTGATCATGTCTTCATAGGAGGCTGCCCGTGGGAAAGAGGAATACAGCTCTCGAGAGGCAGCTTCTCCAGAAGCCATGGTGGACTCTTTCTCTGGGAAAACGACCGGGCTGCTATTCTTCATCACCTTGTTGAATTCAGCGTATTCATTGAGAATAAGTGAAATATCGTTCCGGGATTCTTTTAAAGTAGTGTTGTATTTCAGTTTGTTGAGGTGGAATGAAACAGTCTGATTTCTTCCAGAATTTTCAAGATGATTTCTACTGTGACCACAGCTCTCCTTCCAAAAGGAAGAACTGTCCAAACTGCCAAGCGTGTGGCCTGTCCTGCGTGGGCCCTGCTGCCAGGAGCCTGAGTGCACCACTGTTACCACAAGGGGGCTTCTGCTGCGGGATGCAAGGTGCAGAGCCGGGGACTCGGACACTTTTGTCAGAGGGAAGGCTCCAGCACCAATTAGAGGAGGCTCCTTTGGAAAGACATTGGTGGAGGAGGCAGAAGGCCGAGAATCGCCCTTCTTTACAATTTGTTTTAGCTTATGTGCAAAACGCAGATACTCCAGATCTAAAGTGTTCTGGGTGAGGTCATCTGCCACCTGCCAGGTATTTGTCCAGGAACTGAGCAAGCCACATTTTGCAGTGAAATTGGGGTGCCTCTTCAGGCTGTGCAAAGTTCTTGTGGTATCTGTGAGCTCTTTAGTTATGGTGAAATTAGCGTAAGTCCTGGGGATGCCACGGAGGTCTCGGATCTGGATATAAGATGGCACACACCTGTCTTCTTTCTTGAATCCAACGAGCCAGTGTCTGGGAGCAATGCCCGTCTCCAGCCCTGGGGCATGGGCAGAGTAGCCCCACTCTTCATTATCACTGTTATTTAGGCTCAGGAAAGAGTCATAATCATCTTTTGAAGCATCTTCTTCTTTCTTGGTTTGACTATACCTCAAAGTGCAGGAACCCTCTACCTCTGATTTGGGATTTCTACAGTCCCCGCAAGAGTCTTGATCAGACTCTCCAGAAAGCGGCTCATAATGGATGTCAGAATTCACACTGACATCCATGTCTCCACCCACGGTCCCCGAGTCCTCCTCGGCTCTGAGCCCCTCACCAGAGCCCTTATTTGCTGTCTGCTCTTCAGAGACTCCACAAACAAGAGGGGCACAAGACTGGGGAACGACGGAAGCACAGGGCTCTCTACTGGTATTTTCACCGGTGATGGCTGTTTTATGGTATGAATCCCCAGGCACACACATGGGGAAAAGCCCAGCGTTCAGCAAATCTTTTGTTTCACACACTGCCCTATCTTGCAGCACATGAATTATTTTTTGTTTGCCTTTTGGAGATGTGGTGCTTGACTGGGAGTCAACACCTCCTAGATCTGTGATTTCTTCATGGAATTTGGCCTCAGCATCACCATTCTTCAGCAAACTGGCCATTCTGACTACTGAGATTTCCTGTGTCTGGAACCCGGTTTCTGTGTTTGTGGGTCTGGGACAGTGGGGTAAGGCAGCACCATCTGAGGGAAAAGCAAGTTTGGGGATCTCTGAGTGTGTGTGTGTCCATGTATCAGCTCTGCCAACTGAGCCAGAGCTCAAGGACTGAGCTTGCGCGTAAACGCCTCCATCTGTCTTCACATCACTGCTAAAGAGATTTTTAATACTTTTAGGGCTGGTCTGCTGTTTTAGTGACACATTCACTATACCACTTGGAGCAGTTGTAGAAACAAATGTGTCTGCCAAAAACTTATTTTCAGTCATCTTTCTAGGACTAAATGGAGGCTCACCGGTCTCCAAGACAAGAGGACTTAAATTCCTGTTCTGTATGCTAACTGGCTGCAGTGGATTTCCCGATGTCACCAACTTTTCTAGAGAAAGCTTGATGTCCTCTCCGTGTTTGGCAGCCGGGGCAGGCTGTCCCAGCTTCGTATCACAGCATGGCACCTTTTCTGAGAAAGAGAAACCCTCAACCTCACAGTGCCCCCCTGGGACAATTTCCTCAGTTACTTTACCAGGAAGGGTCAAATGGCCATCTTTTCTTTCTGGATGCTTACTTCCTACTAGCGGCATTTCAGCAGAAAGCTGCATTTGCTGGACTCCAATTAGGCTATCTTGTCCCACTGGATGGATAGGACCAACAAAAGAATTTCCTTTCTCCGTGAAGGTCGAATCTACTGACTCGATCCGGGAGAATCTGGCATTTCTCTCCCGCTGTGTATCGGCCAGTTGTAAACTACACAGAGACAAGGCCTGAGATGGCTGTGCTGCTTCAACTGGGTCCTGGGGGTCAGGACTGGAAGCTGGTGACACTTCTTCAATTAAAGAGGCAAAGGGAAAGTCTGAGGTAACGTTCACTTCCTCTGCAATCTCAAGGGCGCAAGTTTCTTTAGAAAGTATTAGGGTAACTGTTTGTAAATTATCACCTTTTCTCTCCTTACTTTCTAACGATTTCTCTGGCACTGTAGGGAACACGGATGTAAAATCAGCAGAATCCACTTCTGGGTTTTCTAGGAGAGTCACCTCTTCTGGCCCGATTACCTCTTCAGTCGTGTCCTGAAGTTCCAGATTCGACATGGGGGCCTCCTGCCTCAGCTCTAGTCCCCCCGCGGGCATCTCTTCTCTGGGGCTGGTGGGTGGCGATATTGTGAGAGTGAGGTCAATGTCAGAATCATCCTCGGAGAACTCCAGGCTGGCCTCCTCTCTACTCACAGAGAGGTTCGTTTGCTTGGTAAAAGCTGAATCAAAGGGTTCAAAATTCCTATTTTCACTCTTTAGAGCACTCCTGTCACTCACTGGTTCCGAGGAGCTACCTGTCGTATCACCCGTTGGCGGAATGCAGTTACGAGAGGTAGTTCTTCCCAAAGTGGCGGAGGCAGATGCCGAGACCACTTCTTCAACCTGGGACGGCTCTACAATTTCTTCCGAAGATATGCCAAAGAGACTCTGAGTCTGCAGGAAAAATTCTTGAGAGAGTTTCATTTCTTCCCTGGGTGACGAATGATTAGAACTTTTAACTAATGACAACGCCTCGGCTACCCTCGAATTATCAGATGGTGGTGATAAGCCTGGAGCAGGAATCTCTTTCTGTAGTGAACATGAACACATTTCTTTTGCAAGTGTCTCTCTACTTACTGAGGAGGCACAAAGGTACTTAGTGCCTTTTTGTTTGGACATTGCTGGAGAGGGAACATCCCTAAGGCCTTGTGTTTGTGCCTTTTCAAATGACACAGGATGTCTAAGACTCGGAGCAGGTGACACTTGCTTAATCAACTCCGTATTAAAGGTTGTAGGTTCATCGCTTCTATTTGCAACTTCTGTCTGTATTGGTACATAGGTGTTTTTTTCAAAAGTGAACGTAACTGGTTCCAGATTAATCATCACATACTCTGTATCATCCTTACTCTCCAATGAAGGCTGACATTCTTTGCTCATGGGGCTGCTCTGCTGGATGAGGCCCTGTAAAGCACTGGTTTTTGTTTGCACTGCTGCATGAAAAATATCAACTTTGCTTTCCAGGGTGCTGTACACAGACTTCTGACAAGTCACCGACTGATCGCTGAGCCCATCGTAAGTCTTGCTGAATGTGGTTTGTGTGACAGTATCACTGTAAGTCACTCTTGTGCTATCAAGTGGCTCAAAGGTTTTATCTTCACCGGGAATAGAAGGTCCATTAGTTTGGGTACTTCCAAGATTAGAAGTCTCTAGTTTATCTGATGGGTCTTGTTTGGCTTTACCCCCCATTATCTGAAATGACAAAAAGAAAAATCAAGAGTCAAATAGACTCTTTTTTCACATCACTTATGGTGAAGAACAGAGTGGACAAGAATCAATGTCAGTTTGTTCTTTTGAATCTTTTAATCTTTAAGAATATCACAGGGTAGAAATCAAGCAAATCCCTCTCTTTTTTAGGCAGACTTACAACAGCCCAAAATAGGAATTTTTCTTTAAATATACACACAAATGAGAGCTTCAAACCTTTAACTGCACAGTTTTTTGTTTTTTTTTTTTTTTAATTGACTTTTGGGAAGAAAAGTGGCTGGACCAGTGACAATGCAAAGACCTGAAAATGCAGCCTGTTTGCTAACTAGCATCACCTAATGCAGAAATGCAGTACTAGAGAAAAAAGGACTCAGTTTTAAGTGTTTTTCAGTAAGATTAAAAGATAGTTTTTTAAAGCAAAGAATAACTTATTTTAAACACTAGCTTTCGATCAAACCACAAATACACTGTCATCTGGAACTCTCCCATGAGGAAAGAGTAAATTATGATCTCTTGTAGTATGACTGATGAGCAGTTTTTCGAGGGTGTCAATCTCCATTCTGGTAAATAAAGATCCCTTACCCCTTAGCTATCTTCTTTGCTTGTAACTCTCTCATTACAATACTCCTATTCAACAGAACAACAGAAAACATAGTGCAGTTTGCATTAACAAACTGAACCAAAAGGATCACTTTAAAGCAGGAAGGATATAGGTTAAACACTAGCGGAATACCTCTGGACATTCTGATGACCTCATAAACAGGCTGTTTTAAGGCTGAAGCATGGTCTTGTCCAGAGTATGGTAAAATGGACTGATCATCACTGACCATACACCTATAATATTTGGAACATTATGGTCACAGATTTCCTGCCACGTCTTGAGGCGATCATACTCAAAGTCAGGACCTGGGTTTCAAATCTGTTAAAAAGACTTCTGTCTTAAACAAAGAAAGACACTGACCCACATAAATGGCAGGGTAGGGTGGAGACTCAGAGTTTTAAGAGGACATGATTGGCCAGACACAAAGCATAGAAAAGTCTTGATGGTAAGAGTCATTCTGAAAACTTTCCTGTGACCCTTCAATCATGCTGTGGCTGCTAATCTCACCAGGCCTATGGACTTCGTGAAATGCAAATTGTCATCAACTTCCTATGTTTATATTGACAGATATTTTTTACTACTGGCGAAGTGTAATATGTTTAACATAAAGTCTGATACTTAAAAAGAACTTTTTATTTTTTTCTTATTTAGTTCATTAACCCACACATTTAAACACATGACTCAGAGCAACATGCCAATGGTTTCTAATGCCTATGGTGCTGGAGTTCTCTTCACGTCTAGTTTGCCCACGTGGGGAAGACGGCAGGGGATAGTGCATGTGCGCACGCCTTTAAAGTATGGGCATGGTAGCCAAGGAGATGATGGAAAAAAACTTAAGTATATGCTATAGAAATTAATTTTAATACTCTATTTCTTAATACTATTTCACATTTGCAAAAACACCATTCCTAGAATTAGTAATGATGATGGTGATTACAGATTAAAACAACAAAAAATACTTTATCAGGTAGTAATCAAAGTCTTCTAGATTTTTTCTTTTTT